TAAATAAATAAATAAATAAATAAATAAATAAATAAATAAATAAATAAGTGGATAAATAAATAAATAAATAGATAGATAAATTGCGGGAGAGATAGCTCACAAGTTCAGAACACTGGAGCTTTTACAGAGGACCCAGGCTCAGGTCTCAACACCCACGGGGTAGCTAGCTTACAACCACCTGAACTTCAAATCTAGTGGAGCCAATGTCCTCTTCTGGCTTCCTCAGGCTCCAGGCATGCAGAGTCCACAGACTGTACATGCAAACAAAATACTCATGCACATGAAATTTAAAAAAAAAACAAAAAACAAAAAGTTGTATGCCCTAAAAATAGAAATAAATATTAACGTAAAACAAAACACAAAACCAAACAAACAACTTTAAGGGCCATAGTGACAGTGGGTGTTTTCAGACAGGATGAGGAAGCAGTTCATAGCAGTCACATGATGCTGGCCAGAAATACACTCAGAGTTACCCTAGTACCCTCAGAACAACTTTAGCTCCAGAAAGGCAGACATCTACCCTCCTTGATAAAAAATTAATAATAAGCTTTAATCACAAATTTACTTCTGTCCTCATCATTCTTTTATTTACTAAGAAAACAAACAATAAAATATCCAGTCCCACTAATGGCTTTGTGTCTTTTTCATAACAGACTGTAAAGCAAGGGCTAAAGTTGTAGATTATGTAGGCCCAAATTAGCATGAGTGATTTCTAAGTTCTCCATATTTTATGATCAATTGAGAGAACTTTTGGTATCTGTCAACAAGGCCAGCACTAGTTATTTGAGACCGTGCTCCAACTGAAAGCTAAAGGGCTCCAGTGAGGCAGAAAACACACAGGTCGTGTTCAGGGCTGGCTCCGGTCGGCTGGAGTACCTTGAGAATGTTGTCTCGGCTTCGTCGTCAGCCCTGCTGGTGAGTTTCCACTCCGCTCTCCCTGGCGGCTGGGGGAGGCCGATGGGTGGCTGGGGCAGCTGCGGGAGGTGAGGATGGTGAGGGAGTGAGTACGGGACGCTGCCCTGGCTGAGACAGGCATGGTGCTCACCCCACCGCGGCAGCCGCGCCTGCTGCCGCCTCAGTGTCTCCAGGGCTGCACTTCCGTGGACTCCATCTGCAGGAAGACGCAGATGTGAAAATGGTTTTTGACCATCTAGGGCTGCTTCAAGTTAATTTCTGCAAAGACTTCACACCCAGATTTCCTCCACAAAGACAAAGAAATAGCTACAATTTGGTTGGGTAAGAGTGAACCTCCCACAGCCCAGAGCTATGGTGCTGACTCTCCCTCCTTTGTGACGGTGTCAATGATGTCAACTGGATACTTATTATACACATATGTACATATAGCACTTGAAGCCAAATTTTATTTTTATACCCACTGGTAGGGTTTTCTGGCATTATCTGAAGACATGAGTCAATCCTGGCCTAAAGTAACATTACACAGGACATGCTATCTTCCGCATGTAACCCGGGAACTCTTCACATCTGACATCCCGACAGGCAAGCTTACCCACAGCTTCTCCTACAGGCAATCCCGGGGAGCTCTCGTCAACAAAGTTGTTCAAAGGGGACGCCAGGATGGGGCCAGGCTGAGTGATGGCTCTCAGTGGACTGTGGCCATCAGGCAGCACGGGAGGTGGCTGCTGCTCGGGAGCCACAGCCTCTGTGGCAGGAGGAGTCTGTGGTCGGTGAGCAACTGCATTACTGAAAAACGCACTGGAGGGCCCCGCCTGAAGTGCAGGAGAGAGCTGAGGCGGTGGCTGCAGGGCCTGCGGAGGGGCCTGGCTTTGCTGCTGGACCACCTGATTTGGCTGAGGTGCCACCTGATTTGGTTGGTCAGGTAAATTATTCTGCTGCTGATTTAACAAGGTGTGCTGCTGGGGGATGGGAAATGGCGGCCTGGGTAGCTGAGGAAGGGGATGAAAATGGCGGCTAGGGATTGCATACTGTGCGTGAGGAGCAGGAAGAGGAAGATTAATGTGTCTTGGGTTGAGATTATCTTTTCGAGGAAATTTGGTATTGGAATAGACAACGCCGGGACGGGTTTCGGGACTTCTGTTCTGTGGATTTGATTCCAAATCAACCTGGAGGAGAAAAGAAAAGGGGTGGGGAGCATTTTTAACTGCAGAAAAGCCAAGTTTGGTGGCTTGTCACCCTTTCCCAACCACACCCCACTCAGAGGCTGTACTGTGCTCTTCAGTAGCACGGGATGTGCCCGGTATAGACCCAGCCACCTTCTGACAGTCAAGTAGGAGCATATTCTTACAAATTAAAAAAGATGACAGAGCAAATACGGCACAATAAATCAGAATCTGAATAAAAGCTGCTACCGTTTTCCTAGAATGACCACTCTAATTCCTGTTACACTATTTTCAATTTCAGTTTTCCCTCAGAAATAGAACCATTAATTTCCTTCAGATATAAATCAATAAAACGTGCTCTTTCCCGCTGATTATATTGTTTTGATATATCTAAACTATTTCTCCAAACAAATCAACATTAATAAAAACTGTATCTCTGACAACTTTCAAATGAAAAAAAAAACAAAAAAACAAACAAATAAAAAAAAAAAAAAACAGGTACCATGACACCTTTGTAGAACTTGTAACGGCAGCTGACTTTTGTCATTAAGTAGTTTGATAGTCTTTCTCTTTAATGTTTGTGGAGAACCTAGTAAGTGTATTGTGACTGATTCTGAAAATTAAATGGCAACAGTAAGATTCGGTCTACACTCTCAAGAGCTTAGAGCAGGAGCTACACACTCGGCCCACTGACTCTATCTCCAGCATCCTGAACGTTTGTAAATAAGGCCTTCCGGGAAGATAGACATTCAGTCGGTCACATATTATCCATGGCTCCTTCTGCACTACAGTGGCAGAGCTGAACAGCAGCAACATACACTGTATGGATGTGAAGCCTAAGAGTTATTATCTAGGGCCAGGAGTGGTGGTAACACACCTTTCATCCCAGTACTTGGGAGACAGAGGCAGGCAAATCGCATGAGTTCAAGGACAGCCTGGTCTACAAAGTCCAGGACAGCTAAGGCTGGTTACACAGAGAAACCCTGTCTCAAAAAACCAAAAACCAAAACCAAAAACAAGAGTCCAGCGGAGGTTATATGCAAACACATGAGACACTGAAACGAGGGAGCTATAGGGAGATACTAAGAAATGTAAAGAAGGCTTTAGAAAAGCAATGGCGTATGAGCTGAACATTCCAAAAAAGGCTGGGATGCTCCCAGGAAAGAACGGCGTTCTAACAAACACAGCAGCTTATTGTAAGGTTGGGAGAACAGCTGCATAGAAAATGTGGGGTTCACAGAGCTAGAACTTCACTTCTTTACATGGTGGTTTCCCATTCTTGACATCAATTACACAGACCCCACTGATCTTTGGAGAAGCACCAAAGGAAGGGTTTGAAGTTGAAGAGCATGGTTGTCTTAAAATGCAAGTTTGACTGTAAGTGTTGATAGAGTCAAAAACAAACCAATATGTAAAGTGACACATGTTCTCTTCCAGCTGTTAAAGCACTCCACAAAATGTTATGTGTCACCTTGTAAGTTTCAGTGCTAAAATGGTGGGTGAGAATTGCAGGGTGCTTGCTCAGCCAAAGCCTGTGAAGCTGGACAGGGTACCCGAGAAAACAGCTGAATGAGGGAGAAGCTTGGATCCTGATTTGCGCTAGAAATACTGTCCAAGCCCTTGCAATCAGTTACAATGCCAATCAAGAACAGTCGCACCTCGCCACTCAGACCTTCACTCAGGCCCTTGAGATCGCTGGCTGTGTGTGCGGTCAGTAAGTTATCGGGCCTGGCCTTCCCAAGTAGTAGCGATACCTGCTGTTCACACCTCAGAGCCCAACTGAGGCTCTTCATAAGCAAACTTTCCTCCTGTGACTCATAATCTTATGGACCATCTTAAGCTACATCAGCCAGGGACAAAACTCTCTCCACAAGACACTACTGGGATGCACACTCTGACTACAAACATGAGGCTCTGGTTACATGTCATGGTTGTCTATGGCTAAACTGCTGTTTTAATTGAATCCAGCACTTGTGACTTTGATACGGACAGGGAGCTCGTGACCACAATACTCTATGATCTTGAAATGAGAGGGGATTGCAGAGAGAGCGAAGGTGGTGTGTGCTCGAGAATGCTGTGGAGGGAGAAAAATGGCACTTTAGGAACGTGCAGCGGAAGCAGCAGTAGCAGATGTAGTTGAGGCAGCTTGGTTCTAGGTGCTAGTTCTAGCACCATCAAAATTAAAGACTCAAGATAGCCAAGTGTCAGTCAGGGCACTGTCTTTAAATTTCTGTTATTAATCTTCTGTTAGAAGACAAGGTTACCTGGAAGCTATGCTTCACTTTCTTTATATCCTGATGCTTTGCCCAAGAAACAAGAAAAAAGAACCACGAGCTCTATTAATTCAGTGCCTTAGTATTAAGAGGCACAGGACAGGAGGGGATTTGGGTGGCAGTGGCCGCTGTAGACCCCTATTGCTAGGTTTACTTTCTCTGCAATGTGGCCCTCCCTTGATCAGGAAGCTCCCTGACTGTCTCACTCATACCACAGACCCTTCTACCACCTCTTGTTCAGGGATGCTCCTGGGATACCTGTGACTGGAGGACAGAGGAGCTGCTCAGGCAGAGGCTGGAGATCCAAATTGGAAGTGCTTATCAAGAAGCGGGCACTTAAAGACACAACTCAGACCTGTTTAGAGCCATCAACCAGAGACTTCTAAGAGAAGTGGGACCAAACAGAACTCTGGGAAATCACAACATGAAGACTAGGGTCATGAGGAGAAGTGAGATGGGAATATATTTTTAAAAGACAAAAGGTCATGTAACAGAGAGTTGTAGGGAGAAGAAATGTTCTTAAAGAAAATAACAGAAGACAGGCACATGCGTTTAATCCCAGCACTTGAGAGGCAGAGGCAGGTAGATCTCTGAGTTTGAGGCCAGCCTGGTCCACAAAGCAAGCCTAGGACAGCTAAGGCTACACAGAGAAACCCTGTCTCAAAAAGGGTGAGAGGGAGGGATAGAAGGAGGGAGGGAGGGAGGGAGGGAGGGAGGGAGGGAGGGAGGAAGGAAGGAAGGAAGGAAGGAAGGAAGGAAGGAAGGAAGGAAGGAAGGAAGGAA